TTGCATGCGCAAGCGGAGCACCCTTGGACAAGACAGTGCAACTATGGAACCTCGAAACCGATCAACCCATCGGAACACTACTTCACCATGAAGACTATGTGAACTCTGCAAGCTTTTCTTCAGATGGAAAGTTCCTCATCACTAGCTGCTCCGACGGTCACATCTACACATGGGACCTCACCGCTATCGTCGACAAATCTACACGTCTGTTAGATATTGTAAGCTTAGATACACTTCATTTTCGATGACACTGACAACGGATCTGCTCCCAGGCTGATGCTACACTACAACCAGCTCCAACGATGAAAGGTGCTGCTCGAATACCCATAGGTTTTTTTGATGATGCACTGCGAGAGGCTAATGTACGTGATCTCCATCCGTGATTGAATTCTTTGACAAATATGTTGGCAGTTGCGCACTGGTCTATCTCAATCCCATGGGGCCACTCTAGCACCGAGTCAAAGCACCCTCAGTCGCTTATCCACCTTTTGGCGTCGCTTTAAGCCACACGGGGCAACTGAATCAGACACGCAATCCCGCCCCCGATCTCTCAGCTGGAATCGAAACCGAGTATCCGGTATACTACGCAGACGAGATGGATCGGACGTTCAGTTGCGAGAGGTCGAGGTCCCTTACACAGCGGGCAAGCCTGTGCGTTTTTTCTCTTTCCCAGTTCTTTATTGTTGAGTCTTTGCGCAGAGGAACTATCACGCAAGAAAGAAGAAGTCACCTGCCAGCTCATCTCGACCTTCCAATGCTTGTACTACGCAAAAGCCTAGCGGAGCAGCACAAATCACATCATCATCACAGCTACCACCTTCAACTACTACCTCGACACTTTCTGCTGTCCCTGGTACTTCTGGGGCAGGGGAAACAAATTCACGTCCGCATATCACTAGTGCTGGATGGCGCGTTCGCTTCGTGGGCTGGGTTTGCTGCATACCTATTCAGAACGTAGACAGTTACCATTAGAGGCGCAGTCACCACGGTACTTGCTCCTGGAACGACATCGCGACGTAATATCACTTACACAGGCCGTGATTCGTTTTCTGCTCTGTATCGGCTGTGCATCTCTTGAGTACATACAACGAACCTTAGGGAAAATCTTCATGGTTCTTATTCTTCATTGGCATTTTCTGTTCCCTGCTCAAGTTTCCCATGGCCATCCTGCATCACCATACTGTGTTTCCTGCGTCTTCCACTACTGTTTTCTTTTTTGACGGAATCTTGATTGTTGTCCTACGCAGACCCCTGCAGCACGCCTTATGGTATCAGACATAGGTACACATCGCATGGTACGTTCATGTGCTTGGAATTCTGCACTCAGTGCCTCAGGCCTCAGTTCTTGTGTCGCTACTTGCGACTCACATAAATGAATACCGCACTGAGCGTGTTCTCGCTCCTGCGCAAGCGCTCTCACAAGTATCTGGCTGTGTACATCCACTATGCCTCTCGCTTCGCCTTGCTATATCTCGCTAGCTCTATCATCTGTCGTTCAAATACTCTGCACAATGGTTGCCCCCTGCCTGAGGTATAATATGGTGCTTGGTGACTGCGCATTGTGTACACTGTTCAGCAACGATACAAGAAAGCATGATGGATTTAGCAACCCTGGATAGTAATCTAAACACATGTACGTCTAAATTGCAGCCGGTATCAACCAACCAACCAGAAAGTCCATCACATAGTATCCCCCGGGCGCACAGATGTGGTCTGATCTTGCAAAAATGCAATAAATGTTCGTAAGAAATGAAGGACACGACAATATATGGTCACTGGAATACGTCGCGCAGCACTGTGCATGCGTCTACTTGACGATGAGCCAATCAATAGCATCGTTCGCGGGCAGCGCATCCAGCCCAAATATGACAGACCAGGTCTCGAAACTGGGCCAGCATTGGCATCAGACCAGCCACAAACAAAAGCCTCGTTGACCCGCGTCATGTGTATACCTGGGAGCTTGAATTCCTCTTGACCTTCGCCAAATTGTGTGCGACTTGTATGGATTTCACTGTCCTTGTCGGTGTCAGGGAGCATTGCAGTGACGAGGTAGCTGTGCTCATCTTACCGAATCCGCTTGTGGAGAATTGTGCCCAATCGCTGATCATTTACAAGATAGGTGCCAAGATGTGGGTTGTCGTATCACGCTTGATGGTGTTGTTGACAGCCTTTGCCCTGCCACATTCGAAATCCTTTGGAAGGCTCTTCGAGTATCAAAGACATGAGTGCGAGCATATGGTACTGATCAGGATGGATAGTCCTGTCCACGAAAATAGTAGTCGTAAGTTATGGCCGCTAGATTGCAACTCAACTAGACTAGTAGTAGAAAAGCTCACAGAGGACGTTGAGGATCAAGGGCGGGGAGAGGAGCAAGATAGACGTTGAACGAAAAATATGGAGAGAAAAGATAGATACAGCGATCACAGAATCGCATTGAGTGAGTGGAGAAACACAGGGATGCAGGTTTGTCACGGTGGGATGGGAGGACCGTGAGGCTGTGGGCGTTTATATTGTATAGCCAGTGCCGAGGCTGTGAAGTGAACACGAGGGTAAAACGAAGAAGATGGGCTAGTAGAAGGCTTTAAATAATGAGGCCCTCCCTCCTAACTTGAATCTCCATCGAATGAAACACCCACTCCGTCGCAGATTTTGTTCCGTATTCATCTTTCTGTGAACAAGTCGAGTACATCTAGATTCAGAGTAAGTGATGGATTCATATGGTAAGAGTTGAAATTATGACATACCCTGAAACCAAAATAATGTATCCAGCTCCTGCGAAGCACGAGAATTCGGGGACAATGCCTTACCGAAAGATCGACGTAAAGCAAGCCACTCCCATCACCGGCATCCTACACCTGCCCAGTGGACAGCAGCTCATCACCTATTCACGGGGTGGGTTACTTAAAATCTGGGACATGGAGACGGGCACACAGGTCAAGGAATTGGAGGGCGAATTTTCTGCTATAGTATTGTCGCCGGACGGCAAGACACTAGCAAGCGGGAGTTGGAATGGCGCAATGAAGTTGTGGAGCATTGACACGGGCAAGGTTACCAAAACATTGATGGGGCACACAGATACAGTTCCTATGTGCTGGAGTCCAGATGGAGGACAAGTGCTGGGCGGATCCACAGATGGGACATTCAGAGTGTGGGATGTAAAGAGCGGAGAAACTATCCTTGGACCAATCAAGGCAGGAGGACACATGCTCAGCGCTCAGGGTTCGTTACTCGCCAGATGGAAAGGTGATTGCCACAGCGGGAGATTGGCTGAAAATCTGGGATGCCAACACAGGCGAATTGCTCAAAACATTCGAGGGTTATTTTAGGTGCCTGGCATGGATCTCGAATGGAAAAATACTTACCACTTGGGGCGCGCTGCCAGACTCGGAGGGATTCCAGATGATAAAATTCAACACAGCCACTTGGACTATTCTTCACGTGTACAAAAACTTGGTCAGTTCCTTTCTCGATTGGATTTCCCTATCTCCCAATGGGCGCTTCTTTGCAACTACATCATACCTCAGCAGGACAGTGCAACTATGGAATATCGAAACCAATCAACCCATCGGAACACTTCACCATGAACACACCATGTACTCTGGCAAATTCTCTGCAGATGGAAAGTTCCTCTTCACTAACTGCCAGGACAATCACATATATATGTGGGATGTTTCTGCTATTGTAAAAGAAGCTGGCCTTTCAGATATTGTAATCTTACATACATTTCATTCAAAATGACGCTGACAACGGCTTCCTCAGGTCGATGCTGTACCGCGACCAGCTCCAAAGATGAAAGATGCTCCTCGAATACCTCCAGGGTTCTTTGACGATGCACTGCGAGAGGCCAATGTATATGATCTCCACCTATCATTCAATTTTTTGACTCATATTCTCAGTTGCGCATTCATCTATCCCAAGCCTATGGGCCACATGACCACTCCACTCCTGTACCACGTCCGAGTCAACGCACCTTCAGTTCCTTTTCCTCCTCCTGGCATCACTCAAGGTCTCACGGGGAAACTGAGCACCATACTCGGCCTCTGTCTCACTCTCTCAGCTGGACTCGAAACCTAGTATCTGGTATGCTACGCGGATGAGATAGATCGGACATCGAGTTGCGAGAGGTCGAGGTCCCTTGCACAGCGGGAAAGCCCGTGCGTTTTTTTGTTTCACGATTCTCCTCTGTCGCTGACTTGGTTTCGTGCAGAGAAATTATCATGCTAGAAAGAAGCCAACTGCCAGCTCGTCTCGAGCTCCCAAAATCCATACAACGCAAAACCCTAGCACATCATCACAACTACCTCTAACTGCCACTGCCTCGACACTTTCCGCTGTCGCTAGTACCACTGGGGTATCGGGAACGCCCTCACGTACTCATATCACCGGTGCTGGATGGCGCGCTCGTTTCGTGGGGTGGATATGCTGCATGCCTATTCAGAACGTGGACTATTAGTGAAGTGACTTGTGTGTCTCATTCGTGTTTTGCTATCTTATCCATAGTTCATTCATCATGACCATTGACTAGGACTCTTCTGTTGTCATTGCATAGTACGGATGGAGGCCAGGAAGGTGTGACCAGGATAACAGGCAGTGTTACGATTTACTGACCGTACTCCATGAAATGCTCTGTCGTGCCAGCATCCCCCACCACCGGAGGGTCCCTGTTTTCTTGCTCGATCATTGTTCCCCGAACTCATCGCTGGCAGTGTTACGACAAAATGAGTTTGTAACTGTTGATCGACCTTATTCTAGCCTTTCATGCTTATGGCTTCGAAGATAGTGTACCCATGTGGTCAAAACAAATTCGAATTAAGCCTGAGTTCTCTTTACACCAAGACTAAAAAGTGCGCAAATACTTCATTCACTTTGCGGCAAACATTACCATTATCATTTCTCAATCAGCAGCGAACTGCATATCATTTAATCAACAACAATGCTAATCTGAAACATTACGCACCAACGGTATCTTCTCGTCCGCAAGGGGGATTATTAGGATCAAAATGTTCGCAGATTTTATCACCAGCCGCAGTCTATTACAAGGCGCAAGGGGTGAGTCATGTGAAAACTTGATGCAACGCAAACTGCTGCTTACAATGACATCGCAGGTACTCTTTTTATTGCAGCATTCATTGCTCTTGGTACAAGTATAGCCGTCCGCCGTACACGCGCTGACAGACACTATAGATGTTGCCAGCGCAGCAACAATAACGGCGAGGAAGGATAAGTGCATTGTTTTTGCGATGTGGTGTGATCTGCTGAAGTCCTCAAAATTTTTCTTTGGGGTGAAGTGGACGGTAGGAAAATGACTTGCTCTTATAATCGCGAACAATAGTGCTGAGTGTTTTAGCCAGTATTTATTTAGCATCATGGTTTAGGCAAAACCTGGCCGGTCCGACGCACAGCGGGAAAGTTTGCGTTTTTTTTACTCTTTCACGGTTCTTCTTGAGCTTGATTGCTGACTTGTTCTCACGCAGAGATTATCACGCTAGAAAGAAGCCAATTCAATGCCAGTTCGTCTCGAGCTCCCAAAATCCATACCACGCAAACACCTAGCGCATCATCATCACAGCTACCACCTCCAACTGCCACTGCTTCGACACTTTTCGCCGTCACTAGTACCACTGGGGCATCAAGAACGCTCTCGCGTTCTCATAACATCGGTGCTGAATGGCGCGCTCGTTTCGTGGGGTGGATATGCCGCATGCCTATTCAGAACGCAGACGATTAGTGAAGAAAACCTCACGGAGGACGTTGAGGATCAGTCGATCAAGGGCGGAGAGAGAAGCAAGTTCAACGAAAATATGCAGAAACAGCGAGTGGAGAAACACATGTACATGTCCATTTGAGGTAATCTATCCAATGTCGGACAGTTCTATCTGGTCTATGCTGTGGGCGCTTAAATTGCAGTCAGTGCTGAGGCTGTGAAGTGAACATGAATGTCAAACGAGGAAGATGCGCCAGTAGAGAACTTTAACAAGAATCTCCCTCCTAACTTGAGTCTCGACGAAACACTCACTTCGTCGCAGCTTTCGTGCTGCATTCGTCTTTCTGTATACGTCTGGATCCTGAGTGAGTAATGAATTCATGTGGCATGTGATGGCAAAAGCTGATATTATGACGCACCCATGAAGTGAATCCTGAAACCAAAATCATGGAGCATCCGGCCTCCGCGAAGCACAAGAACTCAGAGACAGAACCTTGCCGAAAGATCAAGGTATCAGGCATATCCTACACCTGCCCGGTGGACAGCGGATCATCTCTTATTCGTCGGATGAGTTTCGAATCTGGGGCTTGGATAAGGGCGTCAGGTTGTGAATGAATGGGAGGAAAAGATTTTGGAGTCGAGGCCATAGCATTATCGCCGGACGGCAAGACCATAGCAAGCGGGATTGAGGATGGCGCAGTGAAACTGTGGGACGTCGACACGGGCAAGGTCATTAAAACCTGGACGGGACACGCACAAGAAGTGAAATGTGTATGCTGGAGTTCAGGGCAAGTGGTGAGCGGATCTGACGATGGAACATTCAGAGTGTGGGATGTCTAGAGTGGAGAAAATATCGATCAAGGCAGGGGATTACGTCTTGGCGGTTTGCTACTCACCCGATGGCAAGATGATGGCAATTGCTACCTACGGGGGTCACTTGGATAAAAAGATCGAACGTTGAGAATCAGACTTGCAGCTTCGCGGCAAGTTGGAACATACTTTTAGGTATCACTGTCATACCGCTTCATCAAGTTCATCCACCACGTCATCGGAAGGTACAACAGCCGCATTTGGACAGACGATCAAGGCGACCTGAAAGGAGTGGCAATGACCAATGGTGGGAATTCTACGGAATCACATGCCAAGCAAACATGTTACCGTCTCGATTCTCGAACCTCCATTGGACCCACTCGCCATGCGGAAATACTCTCCAGGTAAGCTTCAACCTATGCCTTTCGTTTTTTCCTGAGACCTACTCATTGATCTACTCATCTTAAAGACGTTAGGCTTTCACATTCGCTCAGCGTCCGCCGCTCCAGTGGTTTCACAGCACTATTTACTCCTGATGCATCAACGTCCGATCCCGCATCGTTGTCCAATCCCGCATCGATGACTGAGTTCAGGGAGATACTAGCCTCGCTGCAGAACCAGATTGCGGAGATTCAGGGAGAGAATGAGACCAGGAGAAAAACACACGCCGAGGACTTTGAAGCACTGAGAAAAGAACTGAGAAAAGTAAGTCGCCCGTCTTTCCGGCCACAAACCCTGACAACAATCTCCACAGGTTACAATGTTAATAGTCCCTTTACATCTTCACGTCCTACTCGACCTTGCGCGCAAAAAAGTTCTGGGACACCTCGGCCATAAGACATGGGACGACCTTCGCGCCTCCCACAGTAACGGTGTTGCCAACCTTGCAGATGACATCTTCAATTATCTCAAGGAGAAGGGTATATCACACTGCCCATCATCCGAGTCGATATCTTTCTTATGTTCACACAACAACGACCGACAGGCAGGAGATTCAGCCGCTCACAACGCAGAGGAGACCGATATCAGACGTGCACTCTCAACCCAGGCGCTGACGTCCCATGATTGGAAAGTTTGTTTACATTTGCGTACGGTGTACCAGTCTAGGCGCGATCATAGCATTTACTTGACAAGCGGTGACCTTCGGTCGTTGCGTTTTATTAGCACGCTCATGTCATACCACTACAAAAGCAGACAATTAAGCCCTATATTTGCACCATACTTTTCCTCAATTTGTCCGTGTGGCAAGATGGTTTTGTAGCCGTTAACCGTCCTTATTCTAGCCGTAGCTGATCGAAGATGGTGTAACATGTGGTCAAACCACTTTGGATTAAACTGGACTCCGTTCTCTTTACACCAAGACTAGTAAAAGTGCGCATATACTTCATTCACTTTGCTGCAAATATTACATTTTATCTATTTTTCAATCAGCAGCGAACTGCATATTATTCGATCAGCAACAGCATCAATGGGAAAGCTGAAACACAACACACCGATGGTATGTTCCTGCCTCAGGCTGCAAGGGGCCCATCCTTAGGATTATGGCAGACTTTAGGAATAGTCGGATCCTATTACAAGGTGCAAAGGGTGAGTCATCAGGCAAAAACTTGAACTACTATTACTACTGACAAAGAAAACGCAACTACTTTTTCTGCAGCAGTCACTGTCATGGGTACAAATGGCGCCGTCTTTCTGGCACGCACTGGCAGAAATTATAGATATCGCCAGCGCAGCAACGGTGAGGAAGGAGAAGCGCATTGTTTGTGTGAGGTGGGCGGTAGGAAGATGACTTGCTCTTATACTCACGAAAAATAACGCTTATGTAGTTATCTTAGCCAGCTTCTGTTTGGCATCATGGTCTAAGCAGAACCTGACCCTTCCAGTCATTACGTGCCACAGAAACTGAGCTACTAGCAGCGACTCTTACCTGCTGCCAGCAGAAATATCACCGCTTTACATATCACAACTTTATTTTAAAGGAGGATCCATGGTAACGTAGCCCCACGGCCACCCTCGTGTCTTTCACTCCACCCATCTACTTGTGGAGCTGGAAAACCAAAAGCACGTGGCACCTGCTGTCGAAGTGCTTGTAGGAGGTCGTCCCCCTTGGTTTATGGTCACAAAGTGGTAATCGTCAGAATTTATGACGACAAACTAAACGACTAGTATGGTTTTTGATGATGAACTGTCACGCGGTTGACCTCATCAGTCCACACAACTGCGGAAACTACATTTGGTTGCACCAAGCCAAGTACTTAAACTTTCTCGTGAGACGCCGATCATCAATATCAATCGCTTTCGAGCTGTTTAGTGAAAGGTTGCTCACTAACCGTATAGTCCTACAGCATCGCCACCGCCCCTTACTCGACAAGCCCCTATTTTCTTGCCTTTGCATCACTTTCCCTCCATAATGGCTACCAATTCAGTTGCTACCTTGCCTCCCCGGTACGAATTCGAATCGCCATCGGTAGATTCCATCCAATGTACTGGCAAACCATCAATATTCTCCTTCATGCAGAAGAGGGAGAAACGAGCAATTGTTTTATCTCGCATCCGTGACATCGTTTCCGCTCCCAATTTTTCATCTTCCTCTATCGTCCCAACCGTTAATACATGTGCTGCTGCTATCTCACCTGCAGAATTCTCCAAACTCCTGCAAAAACGCAATATCGAAGGTCACACGGCAATGTATTGGGCGATTGTGAATCACCGACGAGAAGCCTTGTGGGCATTTGTTTCATTCATCACCCGATTCTCGTCTGCTTGCGTCTCCGACTTGCGGCTCGCTTGCATGTTGACCAGTGACCACGCATTGTTTGCAAAGCGGAACTTAGCACGCGTTATTGGCAGCTGTAAGTGCATATTACTGTTTACCTGAGAGTATTAATCGACTGATCAATTTTTGTGCACTGATCAGCCAAGGACGAGTCTTTCAGAAAATTTTTGGGTTGTCCACCGGATGAGGTTCAGATCCATGACACAGGGGACGGCATGTGCAAGATCCAATTTAACGTCTGTTTCCGCATTGGAATGTTTCGGAAGCGACTGCTCACGAAACGAAAATTTGGCAAAGAATTTGTTGCGGCGGGTACGGTCCATGTCTCGACTCTCTGTGTTCCTCACGCTGATATTTCAATCCTCGTAGGGCGCATTTGGTCGCTCCGAATGTCATCAGTGGCACCCGACGGGTTTTGCCGCATCCACTTGAAACTTTCTGATGAAAGCTTGCCAACGCGTCTAGATGCTGTCCTGGTCATCGAGGCTCACTCGGGGAAACCTGGATGTGAAATCCCACCTCAGGATCTGCGAGTACGGTGTAACAGCGAGCCTGTGGTCCTCACGCCTCGCTGGTGAGCTTTCTTGATTCGTTAGAAGCCAAATCATCCTGATGATTTCACGATTCCTCAATCCCCCATCGGTTACGCAGGTCGCCCGCTCGAACGTACACGGATACGGAGCTTATCATCTTCACATGGACCCTAGAACATTGGCTGATGTACGAGTAAGTCTTCCCATGCCACAGAGCGGGGACATACTTTGTGGCTGTTCTTCCATTCAAATCAATTGGACTGACAACACAATGTGCAGAAATACTATGTATGCAGACTGCAATGGCACCCTGCATGCGAAGTTGGAGATGACATTGGGATAGTGCCAGTATTTATGTTCCCTCGGTATTTCGTTGATTTTGATGCGTGTCATTCATATTCATGTCAAATCATGCTTTGTTCAGCTATTGTGTTCGAATCTGATCTAATTCTGCTGGGACTATAAACTCTGTAAGATGCCAAGGCTACACGTAAATAGAGATTTTAAGAAAGTGTGCAGTAAGAAAAAGAGACTTGGGCAATTGATCAAGATTTGCGCACCTAAGCCTGTGCTGAAGCCGTGGGTGAATGCAGCATGAATGACTGCAAAGGACTTAGTAAACAGCGATCTCCCTCCTGACTCGACCATGCACGAGACAAAACACTCACTCTATCGCACTCCTGTGTGAGGGTGAAGCTATGCTGAGTCACTAGTGATGCCATTTGTATGGGTTTGAAGGTAAGAACTGGAATTTTGCCGCGTCCGATAGGTGAGGTTCCTGAACCAAAATCATTCATCCCCGCCTCTGCGAAGCAAAAAAAAACATCAGCAAGAGTGCCTCACCGAAAGATGGAAGAACATACCGATTCGGTCTAGGTTCTTGTGCCTACCCGGTGGACAACTGATTATCACTTGTTCATGGGGATAGCTCGCTTCCAATTTCAAGTTGGGGAGGCCTGAAAGGACGAAGGAAGTGAAGAAGTGGTCAACCAGTTTGTCGGGTAAGACGATAGCAAACGGGAGTTTGGATGGCGCAGCGAGATTGTGGGATATCGACACGGAAAGGTCGTCGTGACATAACAAGGATGAGGCGCACACGGTTTGTTATCTGTCTGCTGGTGTACGGATGGTCCGAATGACCCCCGAGTAGTGAGTGAATCCTGGGATGTGACGACAAAAGTATGGGAAGTCAAAGAGAAATAGGATCATTGTCGAAAGAGCAACTAGGGCATGTGGACAGATGACTGCTAGTACTGACCTGATAGCAGACTCGGATTGGGACGGAATATCAACATAGGTGAGCTGTTCAAACCAATCCCCGACACCCACTTTAGTGGGAGGAGGGTTTTGTCGTTTGAAATCGTCCAGGCACCTGTACGCCGACCCGCGGGAAATGATTACGTGAGCACCTGATAGCATTTTCTCTTAGGTCTCCCACCTCTTGCCGTTTATTAGCGTCTCTATTATTTCGTATGCGACATCGTTATGGTAGGTTCCGAGCCATTGTGAAAGATGCGCCGCTCATCGTATGCTCTTGCGCGTGCTCATTTGTGTGTGCTTCTCCGATTGTGAGTTATGTTTGCTCGATCCTGTACTATTTCTGATTTTTCCATCAGGCAGGCTGTGTCACCATTTATTTCCAAACATCCTTCTCGAGTGCCTCGAGTGCTCGAGGTAGCGGCATGCCCGCCGTATAACCTCTGTCATCTGATTGAATTGTACCCGCTGTATTATGATCCTCTCTACTATCCTCAATATCATCCTTCTGTCTTCGCAACCTCTGAAAACTTCTGCATCTGGTTGCGTGCTTCTCTCAGTACACATTGTGATGCATGTCCAAAGTGTCGTTTGAAGTTACCTGCTAATGTTGGACGGTCCCATTCAGTTTCTGTTCTCTTTGATGGTGTTTCGTTGTCTGTCTGCATTGATAATGTTCACATGACATTCGGACGCGCACAATTTGAAAATCGCATGTATTCCCATTGCCAAGTGTTTTTCCGACTCAATTCACTCACAGGCCAAAGTGTGGCCACGGCTGCGATGTGCCTCAGATCTGGTGTACACCATGACCCACCTTGGTTCAATTATGCGGATGAGTGCTATGAGGACAACTTGAACACATTGTCTGCATCTGTACTGTGTAGTCTGGCTCGAACCCTTGTGTTTAGGAAGACGGATGCACGCAACAAACGTGACTATGTCCGTATCATCTTGTCTCATTTTTCCATGTGGCGCACTGAGATTGCACTCATGTCAGATGCGACTCTGTTTGAACACTTTGCACACCAACCACTTCCACCTTCTTGTGCCAGGAATCGTTGCACATTGGTTGCAGCTGACTTTCGCCGCGTGTATGGAGTGGAGGTTGCTGATGCCTTGCGTATTCCTCCACCACTTACGGTCGCCCTTGGCCATCCTCGCCCATCGATACACTTACAATTGCCGTGGATGTCTCTTGCTGTTGAAGATCTTACTCCGAGACTTGAGAGACTGTCCCGATCTGATATTCAGTCTAGTCTCCTTCGGCAGGCACCCCACCTCCGTAGCTTGTACGACAGACGCTCTCACAGAAAGTCATGCAATGCGCTTGCAAACCTTGTGCGGCAACGGGCCTTCCACCTCAATTGTGGGAGTGGAATCGTGTTGTGCAACATTCTCCTTGCACACATGCCCTTCTTAGAGTCGTACACACTTTCAGACAGTCAAGCCCTTCAGTGCATTCTGGACTATGAGTTCGGGGCATATGTACTGGAGAAGTTGTCGATGGATATCATCTCCCCTGCCCAAAAAGCAAAGGCAGCCCGTCTGCATCGAAAACAAGATGCTATACTTCAGGAAAACAAAGCTCGAAATGATCGTGAGCGTGAATGGCCGGCCATTGTTCCAGACGATGTTGTGTTTCGCTGTCTCGGCAATTATATGTCTGGTTCCCAGTGGATGGAACCTCCTGTATGTGCGGTTTGCTCACGGTGTGTTTCTGCTGCTGTATCAATCCCACTCTCTGAGGATTTAGCCTCTTATAATCTAGAACTCCTTCGTGTCACTGATAGATTTATCATACAGAACTGTGTCGTTCAGAGTGTGTCTTCATGCTTTGTTTTCGGAAACGACATCATCGACGGTCTGATGTTAGAAAAGTCTGGTATCACGTTTCAAGATTCGAAGGCCATCACCATCAATCTATGTCCCGAGTGTCAGTCTTCTTTGTCCAAAAATAAGATGCCCCAGTTGGCTTTGGCAAATCAGTTGTATCGGGGCAGCCTTCCTGACCGCTTTAGTGACTTGACGTGGGTTGAGGAAAAAGTATGTGCTTTGTATTCAATTACTGCGCATGTCACTCGGCTCTTTCAATCATCTGATCCCACCCAACCCAGAGTATTCCATGGTAACACATGTGCACATGAGATGAACACCGTGTCTACTGCATCTGTTCTACCTCGGACGCCTTCTGATGTAAACGGCTTCCTGAGTGTGATATTTATTGGCCCAGAACCGTTTGATCCTATGCGTTTTGCTTCTTTCTTCCGTGTCCGCAAGCATAAGATATGGAGTTTCCTTGTTTGGCTCAAGCACAACAACGCTCTTTATGCCAGCGTTCCGTTGGATGCGTCAATAATGGATTTGTATCCCACCGACGGCCCCATTCCCGGTCTGAGTGATCGTGTTGTTCAAGACCACGAGCTCAATGCACGCCACACTTTCACCTCGGAAACAGCAGGCTTCAGTGAGCATCCTGCTGAATTGCTCCTTAGCTCTGGTGCTGGAACTCTGGCCGATGGTGCGGATGTCTCCATCATGGTGGAGAAAATGGGCGTGTCCGACCCCGAATGTGATAAAGTCAGTGGGAGAAGTTTCACTGCCTCTGCCCTTCGTAACTTGCTCCCTGCCGCAAGTTCTGAGACTGTCCCTGACCTTATTATCCACCATAGTGGTAATGCAGTTCCCGAGTACAAGAATCCCTCATATTTTCCAGGCATGTACCCTACACTCTTCCCTTATGGCATCGGAGGATTTGAGATCAAATCACGACCCACCGCACTTGCATTCCATCGGCAGGCACAGTACTGTCTGTCTATATCAGATCGCAGTTTTCGGTATCACAATTCCTTCCTCTTTGTGGTGTTAAACATCTTACAACGACGCCAAGCACATCTCCAGACGCATTTCTCTGTTAGTAAATCTAATTTTGACAGTGTTGCTCGTAGTCTGACCAGTGTCTCTGCTTCCACTCTGCAGCGCCTTGCATCTCAACTCGAACGGGAGTGCAAGCTGTCCAACCTCACGTCCGAAGAGAAGACTGCCCTCGCCCTCCTGCAGCAGGTCAATACGTTATCTGCTCGGATTCCGGGCTCACAGGCCTCTAAGATATTCGTCAGGAATGAAATACGCAACTATTTTGGATATTTTGGCCTACCGCATATTTTTTTCACTTTCAATCCATGTGCTGCTCACAGCCCAATATTTCAGGTCATATATGGTGACAAATCTGTTGATCTGTCCTCGCGCTTTCCAACTATGCCCACAGGTCCTGAACGTGCTGCTCGTCTAGCACGAGATCCTGTTGCAGCTGCAGATTTTTTCGAGTTCTCGTTTAAATGCCTGTTTCGTGACCTTTTTGGTTGGGATTTTGATCATGAGCGATCCAGTGAGTCAGGTGGCATTCTTGGCCGCATACGAGCGTTTTATGGAACGACAGAGTTCACTGAGCGTGGTGCCCTTCATGGGCATTTCTTGATCTGGCTTGAAGGGGGCGTTAACCCTTCTGATCTTCATGAGCGCCTTCGTAATGATGCAGCCTACCAGACCAGGTTTTTTGCATTTTTTGAGAATATCATTCATCACCATTTACCTGACATTGAAGACCAAATTGACCCCAAATTTGAGCCCCGTGTACAGCGCCCTCCCAAACCACCATTCCCTGGTGCGCCTTTAGAAGAGATGACTACATGGGACACTATTTATACAACTGAGATAAAACGTTGTGGGGAGGCACTGCAGCGACATACATGTCGAGCCGTGTGCCACAAGTATCACAACGATGAACGTTGTCGCTTCCTATTCCCTCATGAAATTGTAGAGGCTTCCTCCTTTGATTCAGAGACCAATTCGGTCGTGCTGAAGTGCCGTGATCCGACTGTGAATTATTTCAACCCGTATGTCTTGGTTTTTTGCAGGCACAATCACGACATGAAGTGTATATTGTCTGGCAAGGGTGCAAAGGCCGCCATGTTCTATATTTCGGACTATATCACCAAGATGGATCTCAAGACTTATGAAATGCTATCGCTGTTGTCCCGTGCTGTTGCTCGCATGCCTGATTCAACACCTGGGACTCCTGTTGCTGAAAGTGCCAAGACGCTCCTACACAAATGTCTGTCTCAGTTCAACCGACAACAGCAAATACATGCACAACAAGCAGCACGGTACCTGCAAGGTTTTGGAGATGGCATTGCATCACACAAAACAGCTCCCATGCTGTCCTCGCTACTGATTGGATATGTAAAGGAGCGTTATCCGTGGTTGCCAAGACGACTGCTGAATGGTGCAGACCTTGGTTTGGGCAGGGAAAATGACGCAGATGCTCCTGAGGATGTACGCTTGCGCATTACAACAAATATTGATGGACAACTGATCGAAGCCTCTCAGGTGCACCATTACATCTATCGTGCAGATTCTCTCTCTGACATGAACTTTTATGACTTCTGCCGCTGTGTCCGTATCGACAGCATTGCTAAGGGTGCAAAGACCAAGAACACTTACGAGACGAGGCTTGGTGTTCTTAGAAGACACCCTTTGAAGTCAGGGCATCCCTCGAGTGATACACACGAGTTGGTGGAGCATACAAATGAGGAACGAGGTGATGGTCGATCTGAGTTCATTCCTCGTGTTGTGGGTATGTCTATTCCACGTGCCTCTGACTTAAAGCTGTGGGCCCTGTTCACATTGGTACATTTCAAACCTTTTGGTATTTCTACAGATCTGTTGCGCTCAAATGAAGACATTGTCCAGTGTTACAAGGAGTTTGAATTCAGTCCGAGAAGTCAGCAAATCATGCGGAACTGGGAGGCAGTCCATGAATGTGAGGATGAGCGGGATGCTGATAGACTTAGAAAACGTGCACAACTTACTGAAGAAAGCAAGGCACTTACGAAAGCCTTGACAGTGGCTGCTGGAGATATTGATGAAGAGTGTGAATTTTCCTTGGCTGAAACATCTTCTCGTCGTTCAGAAGCAGACTTTCGTGTGACTCAACTGGTCCTTATGTTGCAACAGTCTGGATGGCTTAAACACCGCCCAGCTGCTGATCTAAAGCCTCATGCGTGTGTGAACCCTGCTAGTGTGCTCGATGAATTGAATGACGTCAGCAAGCTCTTGAAAAGCTGGAAGGATGAGATCAAACAACAGGAAAATGGAATTGCCATGGCTCGTCGTAATGCACTCAACCCTGATGAACAGTGCATGAGCATGACTGCACATGAGACTGACTCTGGCTGTCCCGTCGTTGATAACACGTCCAATCCATCAAGTGACAAAGTCTGGGGTCCTTCATTAGGCACACCCTGCCCATCAACCGAAGCAACTTCATCAGCATCCCCAGGTTCTGGTGTCGAGCCAGCAAACAGTGTGATTGACAGAATAGGTGCACGGTTCTGTCTTAATGAGAAGCAGTGGACAGCGTTCCGTATCATGGCTGGTCACTTTGTGGCCAGATTTGTTCAGAGAACAAATGTCACTGACAATGCTCAACTTACCATGCTCATGACAGGTCCAGGTGGTACTGGAAAAACACATGTTGTCAAGGCACTGCAAGCTGTCATGCAGTGGTATGGATGCGCACATCTCATACGATCCTTAGCACCTACAGGATCTGCGGCCGCTCTAATCGAGGGCATGACCGTACATAAGGGCCTCGGACTGAAAATCCAATCAAACATCAAGGGGAAAGTGAACCGGGAAGCTGGAAGTTCTTCTGAAGACTATTCCGTCTTGATCAGTGTCCAAAACCGCACATTGGGCATCAGTAAATTCACGAATTGCTTAATTTCCTTTTAAGCTCTTATTTTTCTCACCCAAGAGCGGACAAGAACCAGAACACCTCCTTGTCACAAGGAGCAACAAGCTGCCAAGAAGATCCCTTCCTCTTGATTTGAGCATTTTCGCACTTTTTTTCATTTGTCCTACACTTTTTGCACTTATTTTTAGAACGAGCTACATTACAATCCCCTTATGTCGCACTTATTTTTAGCTTGTTCACACTATATACACTTTTTCACACTTGTTCACACTTGTTACCAGGAAAAAGAATTGCATTTCAACCGGACAAGAGGATTAAGTAGATAAAAGGTTAAACAAGGAGAAAAATAAGGACTAGCAAGTAGATTAATAACGAGCGCGACAAAGCAAACGGAGGCGGCAACGAGACATAACGAGCGCGACAAATGGAGGCGGCAATGAGACATAACGAGCGCGACAAATGGAGGCGGCAACGAGACATAACGAGCGTGACAAAGGAAATGGAGGCGGCAACGAGACAGCATGTAAAAAAGACCAGGGAACATAGCATGAATAACCTTGAAGGTACTAGCAGCGTCGAAGCTCCTAGTCAGTTGCAAAATAAACTACAAGAGTGAAGGACATTACCTCTAGAAAATGAACGCTCGCTCATCCCCAGATTCTTCGTCCACATCCATCCGCGCGCCGCCACGCCTCTTCGTGGCGAGGCTCTGCGCAAGCTCAGAGTTTCGGATAAGGACCGAGTCTGGCAAGCGTGTGATAGACGCCATGTAAGCCCTCGTGTGCGCACCCCAATTGGCTTCTGAAAATGCCAAGGGGACGCTGCTCTGGTTGCCTGTGGACGGATTGACGTCGAGCGGGGTCTTGTTGCCTCGACCATTGCCAGAGGTGTCGATGTCTCCTAGGAGCATGTGTCCATTGATGAAAAGCCTGATGGCGCGTTCCATCTGAAATACAGGGTAAGTTAAGTCAGCTGTATGAGAGGGTAGAAAACACGTGCTGCTGCCGTGGCAAGACTAAGAGCGCCCTTCGAGTGCCCCGGCACTGTATCGTTCGTTCCCGGCAGGTTGACAGCGCCGGACGTGGCACACTTGTGCTGCACGAGAACCTGTACAATAAGGTCAGACTGGAACGGGTTGGAGACCTCTCCGTCCTCCGCGATGTCCCCAAATAAAAAGGTGAACTTGTCGAGTAAGGCCGATGCAAAATCTTTGCGGTCCTCGTCAGTCTTGAGGTCATCTTGTGAGGTCATGAAGTTGGCGAGCACGGCGAGAGCCACATTGCTAAAGGTATTGCGCCACTCTGACAGCCGCTGGAGGGTCTAGAAAAATAAATGACAGATTTAAATCACGTTTGAAAACAAAACGTACAACGGCAAGGACAGGCCCATCAGCTTCAACCGTGTGTGGAATCCAAAAGAAGCATCATCATAGTTACTGATAGATAAACAAACTCACACATCAGACGTCTTCTGAACTTCTCCATCACGTGCCTTTGTTGAGTCAATAACGATGCCAGCGTTTAATACTGCTTGAATTGCTTCTCTCACCGCCAGTTTCTTCTTCTTTTTGGTTTGGACCGGCTCCCCATCCTCATCCTCACTTGCAGGATTTTCGACGCTAGCATCAGCTGCTAACCTTTTAGCTCCACCCACGCGACCCCTGCCTTTGGTGACAAGAGGCTTATCAGCGACGATTTTTGCTCCTGCCTGCCTATCATCCATAGTCGAGTCGGAGGTCTTCAAGTCCTTTGCAGCCTTCCCCACCGGGCGTGCACGAGGACGCTTAGGCTTAGGTGCGTCAACACGCATAGCATCTTGGTCAGCCTGCATCTGTGCCTGCAAAGTAGCAATACGCTGATAACTTTCTTGTACAGCTTTTTCACTTGCCTCCTTTGCCTCCCTTTCACGTTGGTCGTCAGCGGCCTTCTCAGCAGTGGTACGCTTCTTTCCACGACTATTGATTAAAATGCGCCTGGGATGCTGAGTTGCATTCTTAGGTCGAGTCCCCATGCGCGTTGTAACTGCGTCAGGTTGAGACATTCTATCGATAGACGGTTTTGTAGGCTGACGAAAATTGAAGGCAGTGGGTTACCAAGTTGAAGGTGAGTTTTGTCACTCTAAAATTTGTAGCCAAAGCTGACTCTGAATAATATTTCTTAACGTATTGAATTGAGGGTCGATTGCAACATCCGGAGCATCAATATTCGCCAGCGCTTTTCGGCACAATGTGCTCAACAAAATGACATGTCCCGGATTGAAATACCTTAAGTACGGTGAGTATCAATGTTTACCAAAACCTTTCCGGTGATATAATGACGTCTAATAGCCTAGGGAATGTTCACCAGAACCTTTCCTGTGGTGGGGTGACCGTCATCAATGTTCACCAGAACTTTTCCGGTGGTGCGATGACATAACTGTCCATTTTAACAAACCCTTTCTGGAGTAGTGCACATTTTCGTTCCAACGGCACCTTTGCAAGGGTAATTTTTTCTTCAATATTAGCGGCTGGTTTTAAACCTTCACTAGGTCCATACGTTGCATCAACACTACTCATATGATGCGCAGAAACCGGCCTACTCACCGTGCCCTTCAGTTTCCATGCCTATCTCCAGGTTGTATGCGCTGGTTTCGAAACATCTCTGGCCGCACTCAACACATGCACGCATCCCATCCCGTTGCACCTGCTCTGGATCTTCCCCAACCGCAACAGCTTCCATCTCCACCTCAGTCGCCTCCTCCTGATTTCCTGCCACCCCCCCCTGATTTCTCGCCACCCCCTCCTGATTTCTCGCCACCCCCTCCTGATTTCTTGCCTCCCCGATCACCACCTGGTCCAATGGCTGACGATGAGGATCCAGACTCAGAATTCACTGATGCGAGCAAGCGTTACTATCGTACGTATCACTCGCTCCTCAATGGTAAGTACCTTTCAATCTGCGCTTTTCACGTGTTCTGATTCTGACACGCTCTTAGGACGACCATGCACAGCTGACGGCGTGTTTCTGCCCCCTGGCACACCACCAACTCCTGTCCCACCGAAGTCTCCTCACGACTGGAGCCCGTATCGTAACGATATTGAATTTGCAACGGCAGAGTTTGTTTTCAAACAAAGCCATATGTCTAACAAAGCTACAGACTTATTACTCGACTTAATGGCTGCGCAGCTGTTGAAACACGACGACCACCCTCCATTCGCGGATCACAAGGATTTGCACAAGGTCATCGACGCCACACAACTTGGCAATGTCACTTGGCAATGTCTCTCGATTCAATACACAGGGGAACGCCCTGAACATGATGCTCCTCCGTGGATGGACAGAGAATACGAGGTCTGGTACAGAGACCATTCGCAAATGTTCGAGGAGTAGTTATTCATAGTAAAATTTTATCTACTTGTAATCTACGACACACTTTAGTCTTCCTTGCTTTTGGCACTTGTTGCACTTGTGGGCACTTGTGAATCACACATTTACTTGTGAGTGCTTGTGAAAGAAAAATGACAAGTGCATAAGAATAATAAGTGGCAACATGTTGAAGATTTTCGTGACAAGTGGCGAAAAAGGATGCTAAGGAGTTTGTGAATTTACTGATGCTTGCTGCGAGATGAGTGGAAAAATGTGGAATACTTGCTGATTGACGAGATATCCCTGGTCAGTCTGCAGCTTCTTGCAGAGATAGATCATGCACTACGCCTCGCGAAAGAAAAGCCAGAGGCCTGGTTTGGGGGTATCAATGTGATTTTTGCTGGAGACTTCTATCAATTCCCACCTGTTGGTGGGAGTCCGCTGTACGCACCTATTTCTGTCTATGCTGGTCAAAGCGAGGCAGAAATCAAAAAAAGACTTGGCCGCATGGCATGGAAGACAGTGAACACTGTCATCTCATTGTCTGAACAGCAAAGAATGAAAGAAGACCCTGCGTATGGTGATGCTGTCAATCGCCTCAGAGAACGAAAATGTACGCATGAGGATGTGGACCTATTCAACTTCAGGGTGATTAGGTCTGCATCTAATCCAGGTGGCATCAACATGGATGATATGGACACCATGAATGCCACAGCTATAGTGGCCACAAATGAAGTCCGCGAGGTCCTCAATGCAAGGAAAGCGGAGAGTGTGTCCCAAGGAGACTTGGTTGTCTGTGCAGCTCAGGACAGTGCCTTGGAAGACGTGTCGCTTGCAGAGCGCCAACAGCTGCTGAATTTAAATATAAGCGCACTCAAATCCACACAAGCACTGCCAGGTTTTGTGGTGTTGGCCGAGGGAATGCCAGTCATTCTGCGTGTGCGAAACCTATCAACAGACCTTGGCATTACCAATGGGTCGCAAGGAATAGTCAAGAAAATTTTCAGTACCATCTGCCCTGCAGGATTCACATATGCAACTTGTGTTCTTGTGGAGTTTCCTCATAGCAGAGTGAAACTTAGCAATTTGCCCAAAACCATATTCCCAATTGTGCCCTCCACATGGACATTCACTACCTTGATCCAAGCAGAAGGTGACCGCCCCCAACGAAAAATCCGTGTCACATGCCGTCAGCTGCCCATACAACCTGCATTCGCTGTCACAGGACATTCTTCACAAGGGAAGACACTTCCACAAGTCCTGGTAAATCTTCATGAGGGCGGTTTTGCTGCCTATGTGGCTGCATCCCGTGCTCGATCCCGGAATGGATTAAGCATCACACAGGCTGTTTCGATTGACCAGCTGAACAAGTGTGTGCCCACTGATCTGTTCATGGAAGTAAGTCGTTTTGAGGCCATAGAGCACAACACACTGGTGAAACTTGGTTTACGTGAAGGACAATTGAAGCTGGTTCCCAATGCAGAAGGCGAATCTCAATTGGCATGCGCTTCACCGTCAGTTTTGTTTGATCATGGCAACTCCACACGTACTACCCACAAGAAACGAGGCCAGGGCACATCTGATACCCTAACAACCATCCCTAAGCATACAATGGAGCATCGACAGATGATTTCTGTTGCTGATGACCCTACACATGATCCTGATGGTTGCTCCTCCACCATGGTAAGAAAGCGTCCATTGAGTCCTGCATTGCAAGACATGAACGAGGAGGGACTTACAGCACGGACCACAACAACCGCATCTGCCCCAAGTCATCACCAAGTGAAGCGCATGAAGTTGAATTCTGCACTGGACGTGTCCTGGTTGACCCCTGATTTGAGGCCAGACTTTGACTCACTCGGTCTCATTGGTGGATGCAGCTGGTCTTCAGTTGATTGGTCATGTGCATATGACACTGTGTTTATGGTTCTCTTCCACATATATATATCTGCCCCCACATATTGGAAGGAGAGTTGGAGAGTTCAGCCCACAAGAGCATCACTTGCAGATGCATTTGATGAATTGTCCTCGACAGAGTCCAATCTTAGAGCACAGGCGCTCTTCAACCATCATCGGGACGGGTTTAGAGATGTGTTGCATGCCATGGATAGCCTAAAATTCCCACGATATGGCACAGTGGGTTGCTCTGTCATCGCGATTATGGAGCACCTCTTGCCGTCCCGTGTCTTCATGAAGACTGGGGTCTGTTCAAATCTAGATGACCGACACACTTTAGTTTCATGCTCATCAGCCCCCACAACCTCTGTGGTTTCCATGCCAGTTGAATGTTCTCATATCCGCCATGGGGACATGTCCCATAGTCTTACCCTGCAACATTGGCTCGACCTCTGGCTCGAGAAGGAGCTCCGGCATGATAAATGTGCTACATGTGCAGGCACGGTAGATTGGATTATCCATTTGGTGGAGCCACCCACCATCCTATTCTTTGAGCAGCTTTCAGTGCCATCCATCCAACCCTGTGTATCTCTCAGGCTCCCTGTCAGCGGGGGCAGCAGTGTCTATGTCTTGAAGGGTATCATATATCTGGGTGATTACCATTTTTCGGCTCGGCTGTTCAATGATGCCCATGTTTGGACTTATGATGGGCGGGTGAGTGGTGGGCGGCCACTGTTGGAAGCGCTGTCTACTTCTCCTGGATTTGGCTGGTGTCACCTCCATGGGCGTACTGCCCATTTATATGTGTATGCATTGCAATGATGCAGATCTCTGTTTCCCAACAGTTTTTACCAAGACAACTCAGTGAAAGCATGGGTAAGTATCACACCAGTCACAATGATCTACGTCCCACTGATGTGCCATCTCAGATATCGCCACCTCCAGGTTTACACACCTCACGGCTTGTAGATTTTGATCCTTCAAATAGGGACAAAGGTGATTCTCATTTCTACCTTGGCAAGTGTCAGACTTATCCCACTGTCAGGAACCAGGCCTGTTCGACCAGTCCTCGTCATCAGCAAATTCCTATGGTTCCTCATAATTTATAGGCCCCTTATCTATTCTCCAAAGGTGCCGATTTGCCAGCACATATGACAACTTAGATTCGGCTTGACAGGGTTGGCATGTCTGCATCTCTTACATGTGATTGCGGTGTCGCCCGATAGATTTTGACTTTAAGACTGCGCTCACCTCTCCTTCTGTCTTGCACCCTCCAACCTTCATAACTAGCGAGATGGCATCTTGTGAGTTGCAATGCGGAGCTGTGAATCACCTGTCACATCTCACTCTTGGTTTCAGGTACACCTCTCTGTGATGATACTGTCTTCAGTGCGATGCAACCCAGCCAAGTGTCCTTGGGCACTAGCCTTGTTGTGGCACCTTCTGTGCGTATACCCACCTACCAAGCAGTGACAATGTGTGAGTTGTGAATGTGGTTGATGCACGACGTGCTGACAGTGGATATCCATCTGTAGTCTTACGTACTGCTTCGCTCATCAGAGGCATCTTTCAACAGCTCCCATTGCTTAGTGATGTCATGGTGTGGAGATGTACCAGCCATCAAACACTGGCCATTGGTCAATCTGTCATCAGCAGTCGGTTTGCACGGATACTGCGTCCCTTTGTCGACCACCACATTCCGGAGATGAGTGAGATCATGCATGCAGCACGTGCTGTGATTACAGGCTCATGTGCACTTGCGATGTTGCTGGACCCGGGCTATCAACCTGCCAACTTGAACTTCATCGTGGCAGAGGCAGGTTTTGATCTGTTGGAGGAGTTCATTCTGGGCACCCTTCAATATTGCGGTGTCCAACAGAACGCCCGTCACAATTATGCATTCAATGGTGCTGTGCGCCAGTTTGCAAAGTATCGACGCGAGGGGAAAATCATCACCGTCTCCCAGGCATCGGCAGAGGGTGTGTTCAAAGTTGTAGCATGTTCACCCACCACAGCAGACATGACGATAATGACACCAAATGGACTTGCAACATTCTACTCTTCTTGGACTCTCTCTGGGATCGCATTCGTGAACCATACACTGACTGACCGTCAACTTCAACGAAATGTAGGCTCCTTTGTACGCCACAGATTTGACATCCGTGACTGCAGCTGCTTCATCAACGGGCCTTGTGGAGTTCTCTGTCCTGCTGTGTGGCACTATGTGGCTAAAGTTGGTGCAGATTCACTCGTGCTGGAATGGGATGAAAAATACGGCATCAGAGGGTCACTTGCTCAGTCACGCACCATGTGGCGCCTGGCAATCCATTGCCAGAATATCAAGTGTCCATTCAACCCTACCATTAACAAGGCTCTCACCCGACTGCCACCTGCATGCATGCCATCAGACCTGGCTAGTATACAAGTTGAGGAGGAGCGGATCAAGAACCGTGTGCCAGTGCGTATGTTCCCGCAGTTTCAGTGCCAATAGTTGACATTGGCTTTGCGCAGCATTACAGTGTGAGATATACAGGTATCCTGTATGCCACCCATGCCATGGTGCCTCACCTTGTATCTGTACCCCTCCGAGTGGGAGTCCCAACTCTCATGCATCTAAGCCAACTTGAAGTCCAGCACTGGGTGGACTGCCTTGGTTGTCGTGACAGATTTGTTGTGGCTACATCGCGCATGCGTAAGACGTTCAACCTAGCCACAGGATCATCCCTACTACTTACTGGATATGGATACACTTTCTTTCGGGAAGAGCCTACAGTACATGCACCACTGAACAGGTTGATTCGTCGAGTTGCATCACTGTCAAGTAATGTCGAGGTCATCTCTGGAAACATCCTTGTGGTGAAGCACAACAGAGGAGACAGGCACAACTTGGTTGACGTCACAATGGAGGATGTGGAACAAATTGATGCCATCATCAAAAAGTGCGTCATCCTGCCTGGCACCATTTCCACATCTAACACAAATTCTCTCAAGCTCAATCGAAGATCATGAGTTTTGGACGTGATGCAGGACTTTACGCACACCTTGATATACCATGATTTACTTGTACTTGATTTTATTATGTGCATTGAAATGGGTCTCGATCAGATAAGTCACATATTTATGCATGACCTCGTGTGGGAGGGCCACATGCTCATGTTCTTCTGTGAAAGTTAACATGTATATGTCTGGTATACTAATTGTCATTGCGCATAAACTCCCGCAAAAGCTGGCCTGCTCCCAAGATGTATGGTGCATATGGCACCTTCCTCGCCTCTGCCACCAAATACTCTGCCATTTCAATGGTGTCTGCATATGCTGCCGTGACTGTGGTGTCATTGGCGAGCCTGTGCACCATGGCTGGTTGTGTGAGTTAGATATCATTAGAGAAGAGGTTAGTCTTACCGATGAGCTGAGTGGGGTACTTGCGCAATTCTTCTGTCGCTAACATGACACCGGAGCCAGAACATCCAGCCAACTGTGGGCTACCGGCTTGTAAATCTGCACTGCGTTGGACATGAAAAATGGGAGGTCCTCCTGCAGGACGGTCGACTATATGATTACAGTTTGATACCATCCACATGTGCAGGAAGATGCCACGCACCAAACACAAATGCTCCCTCTCCATTGAAAATCTCGACGAGGTCCATCACAGCTGCTGACATTGTAATGATCGTGGTGGGGTGAAAGTTGTGGTTCGGCACACTGCTGCACTAAGCATTTGAATGGATGTGCAAACTGGCAATTTGGTAGGTAATCGACAATGTGGCGTCACTGGATCGGTTTGGGATGGCAGATTAAAAAAAAACTGAAAAGTGCCGGTTCCAGCTCTCGGATCATATCCATAGTCAGATAGGAGTGCTGATCTGACTGAACACTTGCACCTAGAGACGCGGCTGTCAAATGTGAGTCTTCTGACTTTGCTGGCTCAGGAACTGACTCGGAGTGATGTGGTTGAGGCATGGCAACAGGCCGATGTCCAGCCATGGACAGCAAGGCATGTGCCAGTCTGCTATCAGTCATTCGAGGCAATGTATTTCATATGATATGTTCATGCATGAGAGACGTATCTCTCACCCGTAGCTTCAAACTGCAGCCACTCCAGGTTATGTCCGAATTACATTCAAGTTGTGCCCGCCCAGGTCTCTTCTTCACAGGTAAATTGGATGATGGTTCACCTGATGCTGCCATGCTAACTGCTTGACAGCCGAGAAATACGGTCGACAGTCCTACCGCATTGTGGGTGTCCACCCAAACTGTGAATGCCACTGGGAACATATGATGGACCGTGGGTTTTTGGACCTGTCTGCAGGAGTCAGAAGCCTTCCGAGTCTGAGTATGTGGAGGCTGGCCAGTACATCACCTGCTGCCTCCCTCATACATCACTGCTTGGTGCTTACTCCTCTCTTAGTGTTTGTGGAGATAGTCGTGTATCATGGGCATGAAATCCTGTTCATTGATGATGAAGCCTTAGTGCTAGCTTTGGCTGAGTTCGTGAATGAGGACTGCAGGCGTTGAAAGGTCGAGGAAAGTATGGTATCTGCATAAGGATGCGCTATATGGTGAAGGATGTAAACTTCTGGATGACACATGTATCTACCTTGACTGTCAATTTCACTGCTTCCTGCCCAACCTCTCATGTAGTTTGGCTGGATACGGATGCCGCCTCTTGACATACAATGAAACACAATCAAAGAAAATAAATATTGAATTGGACTGTCTGACATTAGCAGAAAAATTCACTCGACACTTCAATCGCCCATTACAGTTCATCGGATAGCATGTTGTTGTGAGGGAAGAAGATTCATCCACAAAACTCAGCAGCAATCAAAATAGAGGGACACAGTTCATAATGATTAAAGTATGTTATTTCAGGTAACAACCAGGTACCAGCATGCCCGATAACTCAAGCCATGCAGGGTTCCTTTTTGACATTCCAGTTAGTACGCTCTTTCAGTGGCTGGCGGAGGTATGTTTGAGTCAGCACTGCGGTTGACCAACAGAGAGTGCAAGTTACACATACCATTGAATATCCAATGCTCAGTGCAAACAAGAGGGAGAGTAGCTGCCAGATGTCCGTCATCCAAAGGTGAAAATAAGTATGCTTGTTCAAGAAGCCATGCCATGTTGGACCTGCCAATAGATAATATACAGAATATGAGCAAGGGATCACTAGGATGGAAGGATTGAGCCTTCTCACTTACAGCAGTTCACTTGAAGTTGTATGTGTAAGCTCGACAAGGTGTTCAAGCACAATATCTGGTGGCGCACCATAGGGTGCGGTGCCCTGGAAGCTTCTTACTGAACGCATGATGGCGAGCTGTAAGGTGGTGAGAGAGACGCAATCATGACACTGTAGCATGATATCAGAGGCAGTATTGGAACATAAAGAACAAGCAGACTGACAGCCTCTGTGGGTCCAAGTAGATGGTGAGTATGACTGGCACCACATGGAGCTTCCTCAGTCTCAGCGGTAAACAGTATGGGTGTGGTATTCAGCGTCTGCAAGTCTTCATTGAATCCATCTGCAGAGTGTGTGAGAGCGACTGGGTCATCCAAGCCTGGGCAGTGAGGGCAGGGTAAAGAACGGCACAAGGTGCACAGTGGCTCATCAACATTATTGTCAGAGAGCAATGGCAAATCGTGGGAAACTATCACTTCACCGTCTGCTCGAAGGTAGTCTGAGAGACTGAGACGGTGCATCTCAAGGATTTCAACATCCAGAGGGACCTGGGGCCTGTAATGCATGACTGATAGTGAGTTATTGTTGACCTGCGGTTCACAGCACAATCAGGTGTGTGGATTTAACTCTTATGGGTCTGTGTCTCTCGCACATCTCATTTTCTGAGCAGGCCAGGGCCAAACCAACTGGAGGTGAACCAATGTGAGCCGGTTCTGTTCTATGTTGGGGGTGCGTGGCATCGGTTAATGATCTATTGAATTTGCATAGTCCGTGGCAGCTGTCCAACTGCTTGAACACCACAATGACATATACGTGCAGAGGATCAGAATTTTTCTGGCTGAGACACCGGTAGCTATCTAACCACCTGAATGCCATTTGGAATGGGTCTGTTCCCCTTGGATAGTGCTTCACTGAAATGCCTCAAGTGCCACGTCTGTCCTCACCAGTGAAGTTTTGCCTGCGGCTGCAAAATAGTTCTTTAACCTACAGCACGATGTCCTCCTCCATCATGGAGCTTCTTGAGATATTTGATGGCAATGGGGCTTTCATTTTCGGTATGAAGCCAGGGATGATAACTGACAGATGTGCAAACTGACTTGATTGTGGAAGTGCACAGGCAAGGACACCCCATACCTGAATTCGACATTGCAAGCGGCCACAATATCATCACAGCTGGCATTCCTTACAGAAGATGTCCAGATGCTGAGGTGTTGTTTGTCATGGATGACCTCCTTACCAATGAGGCTCAACGCAGGCGTGCGTGTCCCATCTTGTGCCGTGTTGCACTCACTTATCCCACACAGGCACTGTGGAAACAATTGTCAATGATTGTTCAGTGATCACTGTGTATGCACAGAGTGTGGAGTTGGCCGAACAGCTTGCTTCAGAGGCAAGGAGAATGAGCCTAGTGTTATCAGATGTTGCTCAGGGTCACACCTAGATAGCAGACGCTTTGCCTACTAGCAAGTCACAACAGCCCAATGATATTGATTACTGAGACATAATGTGCTCGTGCTCCAATTTATTCAATAATGAAATCTGAGATTGGAGAGATAACTCCTTATCAGCATGTTCTGGGCAGGTTATTGGGTTTCGCCGGTAAGTTTGGATCGTGCGGCAACGTGAATGTACAGTCATGACTCCTGATCGTACACATTGACAGCAACAGCTGAGATCTCGCAAAGAGATCTGAAAATTTTTGCATGAGCTTCATTGGTATTAAATAGCACACACCTCCTGCCGAGTCATGCCAGCCCATATCCTTGCCCCTCCACAACTAAGTATTAAGTGCCTGCCATGCCCGCATACACGCCACCAGCAGAGACAAATTCTCCACTTTCACCCCTCACTTCCCGTGACCCCACCCCTGTCGACGATGAGACAGGTCCCACCAAGACACCACTTTATCATTGCCTCCAGGCGTATGTGAGCTCCCCCGGTGCACTGACAGCAGAAGTCTGTGACTCTGTCCCATTCGCCAATAATCCACGTCCTATGTCCATCCAAATGGGGGACAAAGCGGAGTATTGGGCTGACAAAGATGGCGACCTACTGGTCTTCAAGTTTCCAGCCATCCTCAATGTGAATGGCATGTACACTCGCATCGGTCCTTATTTTGGGATGCCAGACTCAGGGGTGAGTGCTAAGTTTGGATACAAATCTGCAGCACTGTCGCTGATGCGAGGACACAGCTTGATGTCGGAGTCATAAGAAAGGCACGAGCTCACTTTGAACTCCACTTTCTGTCGCCTGAAGATGAGGAGAGTGATCAGTACCCAGAGGAGGTGCTCACTATGTCAGCAAGGTTCTTTGACCTGCTCTCGGCATTGATCACGGATGTAGAGGATGCACGCAATGCAGGTATGGAAATGAATTGTCGCAGGCCATATGACATGTCTGATGATTAGAAAGGTGTGCCTGATTCTGCACGGGCCATTGTCTCTCCATTCATGCGTGCATACTCCCGCACCGAAGAGGACTTCTATGTCTTGCTTGTGCAGTCTGACCTGCTATTTCGTGACTTGCCCTCCGAGCAACAGGCATCAAGCATTGTGCCCCGTGTGAAGCGGGAGGACATTGGAAGTGAGTCTCTCTGCTTGCCAATCACGACACCTGCTGATGTGAACCTGCAATGTGTGAAGAGTCTGGGGTGTTGATTAGCCCCAGTAAGGAATACTAGCTGTCTGATTATGACTTACATTGACGTCTTGATTTGCAGGCAAAGCAAAGGCTGCAAAGCGGTTGGCAATGATGGAACAGGGCCCATCTGGAAGCGGTGGGAATGGCAGGAATGGGGGACAAAGCTCTGGAAATCCTGGAGGTAAGAAGCGGAACACTTAACAGATGTTGTGAAATGACTGTGGTGGCTTCCCATTCAGCTCCAGATGTACTGCGTATTCGCGATCTCCATGACCCACTTGCCCGGTATGCAGGGCTGGGCCCACTGCGGGAGACTAAAGTAGAGGTCCCCGAGGTGCGCAATGGACATGGTGTACTCATCCACCCACGTGACTATGCTGAGAAGCTCGCTGGAGCCCATTTTGTTGAAGTTGAGGTGTACATCAAGTTGTGCGTCATCTTGGGGCCCTGTTTCTACACACCTGCATCGACTAACATGGAATGTAATAGATGGAGCATCCCCGCAAAGTTGAAAAAGGATGTTAACATGAGTGACAGGGATAGGTTTGGTTCCCGCAACTACCAAATGATCCTGCGTCGTATGCAGCTGCTCCCATGCGAGGCTTACTTGAAGCCAAAGATATTGGATCCCAAAGGTAAAAGGAAAGCATCAGAGGACGCTGAAGACCAATCTCCAGCGAAGAAAAATGCATTTGAGAAAGATGCATTTGTGATGTTTGACTGATGGACTCGAAAACCTCAAAGGGGTTGTGGAATGTATTTCTGAATTTTGATCATGGTGAACGGTTAGCGTTGGTGTAATCTGGTGACATTGATATGAATATGATATGCCACAAAAGGCGGCAAAAGCATCTCATTGACTGAAAAAGAGTGAGGGACTCGGCAGGTAGGGGGTATACTCGTCACATGATACAAGCCACATGGCACTTTTTCCTTGAGTGCTGACGTCACTCAAGGAAAAAGTGCCACGTTTTACTCGGTCATGTGACAGCGTAAATTATGGGAAATTGACAAATCATCAAAGGTGTCGGGGACTGGCGCGGCCGAGCGCCGTTACGATCACCTATGGCCGATCTAGACCATCGCTTGTGACGTTAGATGCCTACTACAAACAAGTCCAATGTGAAAATGTTTTCCGTCTCTGGGTCCAGATCCATCCAGATTGCCCCTCTTTTCCGCCGTAGTAGATTTGATATGACGTCCTTCCATTCTAGAGTCTATACTCCACTCAAAGCGCTTCTCTCTTCCCTATCAACCACGATCTCCAGCATCGTTGGGACTAGACATGACATCCGTGCTTGATACTACTGCCATTGGAAAGGTTCAACGTCGCCGCAGACATGTCAGGACACTTACCGGTATGCCCAATTCGTGTGTTTCCTCGATGAGATACGTGATACATTTCAAACAGGATATCTGCCAGAAAAAGATTCCGAAGGCAAGGAAAAGTGGCCTAGAGGCGAAGAGAAAGTCTGGAAGGATGGATTGAGAGGCCTCGACACAGGTAGCTAATCGGAATAATCAATTCGTGTATCGCTCAATCACCTCCACAGGCGTACCATCCATCACCAAGTCGATCGTCAACCATGTCCAAACGTCTCTGGCTCGCCAACCACACGAGATCGACAATTTTGGAGCTTACCAGGCCGCAGCTCTCTCCGTCCGTGATAATCTGATCGTATGTCCCCTTATCTCATATCATTTCACCCATCTAACTCATCGTCGATGCACAGATCAACTGGAATGACACACAACTGCATTACTCTCGCACCGCAGGAAAGCGGGCATATTACTTATCTCTCGAATTTCTCATGGGTCGTGCGCTCGACAATGCCCTCCTTAATCTAGGCCTCAAGCAACAATATACGCAGGGGGTCGACAAGCTTGGCTTCAACATGGAAGATCTCCTTGCCCAGGAGCGTGACGCCGGCCTTGGCAATGGTGGCCTCGGACGTCTTGCAGCATGCTACCTTGACTCTTCCGCATCCCAGGAGCTTCCTGTGTGGGGTTACGGCCTGCGCTACAGGTATGGCATCTTCCAGCAGCTCATCTCTCCCGACGGACAGCAGCTGGAAGCGCCGGATCCCTGGCTGGAGAATTCTAACCCATGGGAACTCCCTCGCATTGATGTTAGCTACGAGGTGCGGTTTCACGGCTTTGCAGAGCGCTTGCCCGATGGAAGCGGCCGTGCCATTTGGGAAGGTGGCCAGGAGGTTCTTGCTGTCGCTTATGATGTGCCCATTCCTGGCTGTAACACGCGCAACACGAACAATCTCCGTTTGTGGGAGAGTAAACCGAAGAGGGGCTTTGATCTAAACAGTTTTAATGGTGCGTTTACAGCCAAATCATTACGCCTTTTACTCGACTGATGACTTTTGATTGTAGCGGGGGATTACGAACGTGCCGTCGAGTCTTCAAATAGCGCAGCAGCGATCACATCCGTCTTGTATCCAAACGACCATACTACTTGTAAGTATTCCCGACAATTTCAAAAGTACGCTGTGCTTAAGAGGCCCATTTCAAGTTGGAAAGGAACTTCGCTTGAAGCAGCAGTACTTCTGGACTGCAGCCAGTCTCGCGGACATCATTCGTCGGTTCAAGAACATCGGAAAGCCCATCACAGAGTTCCCTCAATGTACGCGAACCTAATTGGTTCTCAATTTCAAATGCTCACATTTCTTCTAGATGTCTCGATTCAGCTGAACGATGTAAGGCCGATATATGCGTGTGCACGTACCAGGGGCTAACTTTACTTTACTGAAGACACACCCAACACTCGCCGTTCCGGAGCTCATGCGAGTCCTCGTTGATGAAGAAGAAGTTCCATGGAATGCTGCTTGGGACATCGTCACAGAGACTTTCTTCTTCACCAATCATACTGTCCTCCCAGTAAGTCGAGACAATGCCAGTTCTCGTGATATGGATGTTGACGCAAGACATTGATGATAGGAAGCGCTTGAGACGTGGCCCGTACCCCTTATGCAACATCTCTTGCCTAGGTGAGCATCATGCATTGCAACGATACACTGACGTTAAAGCACTCTTTTGTAGGCACATGCAGATCATATTTGATATCGTGAGTCTTGTATTATATTACCAAACCTCTACTGAATCATGTTAAATTTCAGAATTTGTAAGTAGTGGAAAATATTGTCTTGTACGCTGACCTAAACATCGAACCGCAGGTCGTTCTTGCAGTGTAAGAAAGACAGACTTGATTCCAATTGAGTGTTCGACTGATCTTTCCAACAGCTGTAGAACGGAAGTTCCCTGGAGACAAGGAACGGCTTGCACGGATGTCATTAATCGAAGGTATTGTGATGTTACAACCAATGAATCACGACTAAAAGGTTTTCTCAGAGAGCATTCCTCAGAACGTTCGCATGGCCCACCTGGCATGCATCGGTGAGCATCGCAGGACTCATTTCGTATTCCCACTAATGTGCATGTGTGCAGGTAGTCGCAAAGTCAACGGCGTGGCTGAGGTAAGTCTTCGCTGAGTATCTGCAATCTGTCTGAATAAGTAACACCATCGATCGTCTAGCTGCACAGCGAACTGGTTCAGACGACTATTTTGAAGGATTTCGTAGATTTCTATGGAGTTAGCAAGTAGGTCCAATTTCAACGCTGAATTAGCGTATCCTGACTGAGGTTTTGCGCGCAAGATTTGGAAACGTGACCAACGGCAGTGAGTACCATATCTTCGATGCATTTCTGCCTCTTATCATCTTGCCAAGTCACTCCTCGTCGGTGGTTGGACCAGGTGTGTGGCTATTTTGAAATAAGTGTGACATCGAGGCTAAGTCAAACATACCAGTGCAATCCTGAACTCAGCAGGCTCATCACCCTGACTCTGGACATAGAGAAGAGCATATGGCTCAAGGACCTTACCAAACTTGAGGGTCTTCTCGATTATGTCGAGGACGAAGACTTCAGAGAAGACTGGGCAGCTGTGAAGCAAGCTAACAAGGAGAAGCTTGCTCATCACATGCAGGTTACTTTAGGTCTTAACGTCAATACTAAAGCCTTGTTCGATGTCCAAATCAAGGTTAGTCAAACATATATATAATTGCGGAACTCGAGGGCTGATCAGTGTTCCAGCGATTGCACGAGTATAAGGTACGTAGACACCAATGCATGTCCTCTCGAAATCCGACCCATCAGTCTTGTTAGCGTCAAACTCTCAATATTCTTGGTGTCATTCATGTGAGCATGATCCATAGCGCAATCATTGAATTATGCGCTCAACCTTTTCTAGCGCTACCTCAAGCTGAAATCTATGACTCCCAAGGAGAGGAAGACGGTGATCCCGCGGAATGTCTTCTTCGCAGGCAAAGCTGCCCCAGGGTGTAAGTGTTTGCGCACGTCAACAATCCTGTCGAACTGATCGGCGTTTAGATTATATCGCCAAGCTGGTTCGTTCGACGAGCGAGATGCACAATCTTGTGATACTGACGAGCTTCTAGACCATCCGCTTGATCGTCAACGTCGCTCGCGTGGTCAATTCTGATCCCGACACGAAGGATTACTTGAACGTCTTTTTCTTACCAGACTACTCAGTCACCTTAGCAGAAGTCCTTATCCCAGCTTCGGACATCAGTCAGCACATTTCCACCGCGGGTACAGAAGCTTCGGGCACGTCCAACATGAAGTTCTGCTTGAACGGTGGGCTTTTACTTGGCACTGTTGGTATGTACTGTACCATTATTCAGTGCCATAAAGATCTGACTGTTCGGATAGATGGTGCGAACATCGAAATCGCGGAGGAAGTCGGCCCTAGCAATGTTTGTACGTAGTTTCGCATTTATTGCCTGCGTTAGACTTACTGTTCTCTCGTTGTAGTCTTCTTCGGTCATCTGACGCCCGCGGTGGAAGACCTTCGTTATCAACACGTATACCACCCCGTTCCTGTCGAGCAGAAGTCCCCTGCTCTTGCACAAGTTCTCAACGCGGTCTCCTCTGGGTTGTTTGGCGACAGGGGCGTGTACGAGCCGTAAGTAATTCTCCAGCAAGTGTATATGAAGTTACTCATTTCTTTGAACAGCCTGCTCAACACGATTCGTCAGGGAGATTACTACCTTATCACTGAAGATTTTGATTCTTGTGAGCAACTTGCCGCGCGGACGATAGCGTCCCTGATGAACCCTTTTCAGACATCGAGGCTCTTCGGATGGTAGACGAAGCCTATAATGATCGAACGGAGTGGATTAAGAAGAGTATCAGGACCACTGCAAAGGTATGGACTATCAATTTCATAACAAACGTAACAAGGATGAACACCGAATAATCCAATTTGGAACAGATGGGCAAGTTCAGCTCTGATCGTGCGATCCAAGATTACGCACAGGAATACTGGAACATTGAAAGCACCAAGGTTGAGTAAGTATCCGAGGAAAGGGCATATGGGATATAAAGGAAGAATTGTGGGGCCGTGTCCGGGCGAATAACGGTCCAAATGATGGTTGTATGAATAAAGTGAGGCAACGCGATATCTGGAATCCTGCATGTGACAGTAAATGTAGATTAGTTCAGGTCCAGTAAATGGTAAAGGACAGTAGGAGGGTTTCGCAACCAATGATCAAACATGAAATAAACCAAAAAGAAATCAACAGGGTAATCTTCAACAATGTCCTCAATTTAATAGATGCTCCACCGAGACGTCCATATTGTCCTACGCGTCGGCAGATGATGGCGGTTCCACGGATGCTGCACCATTGGTGTGTTCAACGGGCTTTGAATCAGTAGCGGGTGGTGCGGGCTCAACTCCCTGAGTGGGTTGAACAGGGGGTTCTTCTGGAAGGTCGGCCTGAGCAGTTTCAGCAAGCGAAGCGTTTTCGGGAGTTCCAAAAGCGGGGGTCTCGCTACCATGTGTAGGCTCAGACTGCATTACAGATTCCTCGACAAGCGTACCCTCTGACTCTGGAACAGATTCATCGGGTATGGCTGCGAGCGCGACGATGGCGTCTTGGACCAGGGCTTGTTCACTGTCTTGCTGAGATTGCAGGACAGATTCTGCGGGTGCAGCCACGGCCGGTGACTCAACAATTTCCTCAGGGACAGGCGATTGAGCAGCATCTGCGGCAGTGCCAGCGATGCCAAGTCCCTTGTTTGTATTCGTCACAGTTGTCGGCGTCTCCGATCTTTCCTCCCCAGGTAAGATCTCACCAAGCTCCCCGACCTTGGGCGACTTTCCTATTGCACTCTTCTTGCTTGTCAAACCCGTCTTACTCATCCCACCTAAAAAGCTGAATCGCTTCTTCGTAGCAGCGAACGTGCCAGAAATTTCCGAACGGAGCGAAGGGCGGGGCGACGTGCGACCACGGCGCTCGGGAGATGTCGTGCGGGGCTGGCGAGGCTGCGGGGGCTGCTGGCGTACATACGTCTGCTCGACGATGAGCCAGTTGACAGCTTCTTTCGCAGGCAGCGGCTTCAGCCCACAGATGACAAACGAGGGCCAATTCGCCGTGATGGGGTCTGCAATGGCGTCGGACCAGAAATCGATGAAGGCCTCGTCAACCTGCGTCATGTGAACACTCGCGAGCTTGGTGCTGAGGACTGCAGGCTCTTTGAGGCTCGTCTCGTATGGGGAGTCAGCAGAGCGCTGTCCCGAGCGTGACATCCCCCATTTCTTAGCCGACTTAGGGGACGCAAGCGGCTCTGTAGTCTCAACATCCTTGTCTGTATCAAGGAGTGTTGCAGCGAGCGGCGTGACTGCACTTGCTTCACCGAAACCGCTAGTGGAGAACTGTGCCCAGTCGCTGATGATTGGCGAGGAAACAGACGAGACGGGGGACGTTGAGCCGTTCCCATTTCCGTTTCCAGAAGCAGGTTTGTCCTTGCTACGATCGAGAATCTTACTGAAGGGCGAAGAGCGTCTAGGCATGGGCGATGCAACTTCAATTGTCGGGGACATGATTGGAGAAGAGGCGTTACGAGATGTGGACGCGAGGAGGTGGATTGTTTCATCCACGAATACCCGACCGAACTGTGGGCCATCTTGAGCACCATTCACCGAGGATGTAGAGGCAACTTCGTTGGCGGCAGTCTTGAGCGAGTTCCACAGCTCAACATGCTCAAAGGTTTCACCTTCGGAAGATAGCTTGAATGCATCTAAGAGCAGGCGAACGGGCGATGGTTTAGGCTGTGGCGCAGACTCTGACAGAAGGACTTCAATGCGCACGAAGAGGACACTACAACTCCGCGTAGAGAAGCGAGGATGAGGAAGAAGGTCCTCTTCAACGCCGGACACGCCCCTCGAATATGGATAATGTTTGACAAGTTCCTGAAGTCGGGTAGGCAGTCGAGATTTGAAACTCTCCTCCCTGTGTTATGGTCAGACACACCCTCAGGTTCATGCGGGGTACATACCTAATTCGTGCAAGGAAGAGATGCTCCAAAATCCGACCAGCACGTTCCCATCGAGCATAAAAGGTGGTCCAGTTATCGGTTTGCTCAGTCCTCGTCGCGGTGAGCAACCATAAGCCCAAAAACTTGGAAAGTTTGCTACCAGATATGCTGTTCGCTTCAGCATGCGAGGCTAATGCGGATATGATGTCAATGGTCGCAAGAAGTAACTCGATGTGCACTGGAGGAAGCTTGGGGAGAAGCAACTCCGTGAAACTCTTGGGTGGGTACGACGCCCCTTTTTCAGCGTCGAAAAAGGACTTGTACCACGCCCACTCAGGTGCAGAGACATCCTTGCCGAAAGTGTTATTTTCAAGCACAAGATGACGAAGGCCCCAACGGAGAATAGCTGCAACGTCGTGAGGAGAGCGGGTGTACTCGAGCTCAGCTTCAAAGGCGGATGTTGGCGCGGCAGGCGTTGGAGACATAACGGTTATACGGCTTTTGGGAGCCAATGAATGAATGAAGAGCGAGATTAGCTTTCGTTGAATATCGGGTGATGCGGAGTGCCAGTGAGGGTGCATAATTCCAAGGGTTTCCAAGCCTAAGACGATTATTGGACGTTAGATGGTTGCATAATGATTGATTGGCAATAACTTACCCCGCTCAGTGATACTCTGCGCACAGGCTCGAACGAGTATAAGAGCTTCCAAAGGAGTCAGGAGCTTTGCACCAATAACGGATTCATCGAAAATCCTTTGAGACTCGAGATCAACTTCGAAAACGCCAAGTTGGAGAGACTCTGCGTCGTCTTTCAGACCGGGAAGGCGGAGCGACAATTGGGGAAGATTCTCCGTGCGTTTGTAGGAAGAGTTAGGGGGAGTATACCGAGATTTAGGCCGAAACAACGAGAATCCAGCATGATCTTTAGCCGTCTGAGCCTTTGACAAGGTGGTAAGAGTGGGAGCGGTGAAGTTCAAAGGAGAAACAGCCTCGTATTTTCCGTCCAGTAGAGTTCTATTGTCGTTAGAGTCCTGAAAATGACTTGCTTGAATCCTGTCATTGCTTGTCCTTCGGCCAAAGACCTTGTTCAAGAACGAGGGCATGGTTGATCGAACGCTTGATTCTCAACGGAACCGAATGAGCTGGATTGGTTGTAGTAAAAGCGAAGCATAATGGTTAGGAACTTCAAGTGTGGTAATGAACGCAAGAATGAGAACTCACAAAATTCGCGTTTCTGGGTGGCGCGAGAGCTATGTACGCTTGTGATACTGGACAGCGCGTATAGTAGCTCCTCGGTGATCTCTGCGCTAAAACGCAAACTGTGCCATTCAAACCGCGAAACCACGTGCGCGTGCCGATCTACAACCGAACAACCGCTTAGCGGGGCCGAGCCGAGTGTGTTATCAGGACCCCCGCGTTATTTCCGAGTCGGCTCCGCAATATTTCCTGAGTCCTGACGTTGATACTTATGTACCAACCAACTCGAGGAGAAAATCATGACCCATGGCACATGTCTTGCAAGTCGACAGGTATGTTTTTTTCTTAAAGATATGATTGAGTACAAGACTGAACCAAGCAGCGTGCACCCTATCTTACGAAGTGATGGCGTTATCACCGACAGTCCTGGCTAGAAGAAATGACTTCTAAATATTTTGAGACGTTGACAGCTACCACGTACAAACCACGTAGCCTCCTAGAGTCTGGATGACTACGGTTCGCATCCCACAGTCAACTTCCACCTTCTGCGGAGATTCATCTATCTTGGCCTGTTAATAACCGGGCAACTCATCGCTGCTGAAAGAGCCATGGTGACTCAGTCTGGCATTTCAGTAAATTAACGGGACTTCTACATGCTGGTCAGCAGACTCATGGCCCTGAACCTGCTACATTTTTGAATTATCAGCGCTTGGGTGGGCTTTTGAAAGGTGATTTCTTGTTCTGCCAGTCCTCAAAGCGTTGATTATGTTCATCAGCAGGTAAGTTATAGAGCTCGATATAGGTAGCATTACGGTCACTTATTAACTCAGCTCGGTGCACGGTCCTGGAACAGGCAGAATCGCAGCTCTGTCCTAATATGTTGGAAACCTCGGCGAATTGTCATTGGGTGTTGGAAATGGAAGAGAATCCCTGTCGTCGCGCTCCTGAATGTCACCTGTTCCCTGCAACCGGATTCAGTACTTGACTTTTAGATGCGTTTACCGATCTTTGCCTACAGCGACAACCTCGGGCACCTCATTAATTTACACTGCTGCTACCCCACAGTTGTGTGGTCCCCTTTACACCGTCTCACGGACTCTCACCCCAACTGTTAAATGACTTTAGGGGTTTCCGTCAAACTTTATATGCGCGAAGACCGGAGGCTTTCCTTCATTTCGCAGTGTCGATCTCTCCGGCACTCACATGATCTATAATAGATGTGCGCTTTCGTCAAGAAGGCCGGTGGCTCTATGGTATATTATCTTCCATTCAGAAATTCCTGACTTGTTAGAGCGATACTTACCGAGTTCGTGCTGAAGCACAACCCTGCTTGCTCTTCGCACACTTATATATCAATTCGTAGGTCCAAGATTGCACTATCATGGATATCGCAAATACAGGTGACCATGGAACGTTCGACAATTTACATCGCACACTAGTGGGGAGCCAAATCGTTTCGTAAACTGCCTGGACTACTTCATGAGCGATACATCAGGCCTCGACGTTAGCCATATACGGCATCATGACGGTCCAGTGGCACTTTGCCTGGGTGCAAACCTTGTCAGACGTGCGCCGTTCAGGTATATCAATGATGTACTAACTCAAATGAGACCGCGTCTTGCCTAATTCTTTGCGTGAGCAATTACGGCCGGTTATATAAATATATACCCAAACTTATCGTGCAACAACGTTCAACTAGTAGGTCATTCAGTAAGGACAAAGCCGAGGAGAAGCTAACCATGCTGCTGCATTGAGGCCGGTGTACCGTAAGCACAGAGTCCCAAACCCTTGAAATTTTAGTCACTTCTTGGCGAGTCCGATGGCAAAGGGACTCTGATGTAACCATGAGGCTTGTGGCCAGTCGCGAAGGATACCTCACAGGCTCATTGTATTGTATTATCTACATCATTATCGCCACTCATCTCAAGTATTTGTGTCGTTCGTCTGCTCGAGTGAACTGCTGGTCGAATGTTTTGAACGCTCAAGCCAAGATCCGGAATGTAGCTACTTAGGGCAACTCCGCTTGTCAGGCACCTGGCAGACAGGCACTGTTGGTGAGGCTGTCCAGCAAGTAATTGCAAGCGAGCTGCAGGCGCCTGCCTATGCGACCTCTCGCTATCACCAATATCTTCGAGAAGCATCATGTCGTCTCCAAACGGAGCATATGACCAGAACCTACTTGATGCAGCTCCCGCAGCGACGAGGGCTCAGAGGCAGGTGTGTAGTACCTCTTAGCTCACCTGTCCCGATTTGTCACTAAAACATATCCGATTTCTAGGAAGGTTACAACGTCGATTTACTCGATGAACGTCCTACCCGCCCTACATCCACACAACCACTCACACTTCCACAACCAATTCCTAGCGACACCGATGTCGAAAGCAGCTCGTTGGTACAGGAAAAGGATGTTCCTGGAGCTGCTACACATGCCTCGCATCCCCCCCAATCTTTTTGGCGGACTCGCAATGGCAAAATCACCATCTTTGTTATTGCCATTGTCGTGATCGGTGCTATAGTTGGTGGTGCCGTCGGTGGGACTGTCGGGAAAATCAGCTCAAATAACAACGCCCCTCCCTCGTCTGGTGAGACACCTGCCACTTCCACGTCGGCGACAAATACCGACGCGGGAGTAGCACCAGACACATCCACCCAGCAGCCAGTGTCAAGTAATCCAGCGACACCGACACGCAGCCCGCCAGCAGCATCCACTACATGAGTCAGGGAACAGGGGAACAAGGGACGCCACAGTTTGGCAGAGGATGCAGGGAGTGATGATCGCGGCGCACTGTCGACTTTGACCAGTAATTTCTCTTGCGGATCACTTTTTCGTTGGATAATTATAATACATATGTATGCGTTACTACCTTTTTACCATATGGACAGAATATATACCAAATGACACGCTGTACGTTCCTTCCAGTGTGCAGTTGGAGAATCTGAAGTATAGTCCTTACGACGACTCGGATGTACAGTTTCCTGCCCGAACGTTCATGAGAACCAGCCTTTAGGCTGATCCACTTCATCTCGTTTCATCTCCCCATCTCTCTGTTGCCTGATGGCCTCCAATATTCCTTTGACGCCCTCAACGTCCCCTACACTAGCACGGCCACCAATCCAGTCCACGACAACGGGCCATTTGAAAACATTCGGATTTTGCTCCGCAAGACTCACGATACCTTTCACACTTTGAGGCTGTTCTCCCGGGCCAGGCGATGCAGGATGCGCAGATAAAAAGGCAGACAACGCAGGGGGTGCAGGAGACCTCGGCGGGGTGATGTACGTAAGAATGGTCCTCAATTGATCGGCGGTCGGGGGTTTCGTTTCAACGACTTCTAGATCAAACTCAAGTGGGGGCGCCGATGGCTTTCCAGGGGGATAAGGTGAGGAGAGGGCGTTCCGCAGCAGTGCAAGGGCCTGAATTGATGGTGGCGATGATGGGTGGTGACTGTATAGAGAAAAGATTCAGCTCCTATAAGGTTTCCTTACGGATGATAGATGATGCACACAAGATGGATATTTGGGGCTGTAGTTGATTGATGTTCAGCTCATGTCGGGTAGCTTCAAGCGATTCCGGGCGCTCACCAATGATCTTTTGAATCCAGAAAACATATCGGAATATTTGTTGTCTGGTCGACGTTCGTAATCAAGAAGCTCCGTAGTAGTACGTTGGTGGCGTATGTAGGTTTGACATTAGTCAGCTGTGTGTACCGCCGGCCACCTCTTCCAGCATCACCATCACATTTCAATCAAATGAGCTTGCCAATTGGCGATAGATTGCGGCATATACACTTCGTACCACATATTGAGTTCCGAGCCGTAGGCATTGTCAATTGCGCTGACATAGTGACGAAATTCCGATACATAATACAAGAAAAACTAGTGTGCGCAGCTCCATGCATATCGAACCTTGCAGGCAAGATCGATGAGTCACCGAGCTTGAGCGATAGTGAAGTAACAATTCGTGACCAAAACAATATGTGATATGTAATACAAGAAAATGGCACACGTGAGGCTCGGTGTCGTAAATGGGGGAGAACACAAAAGTGACCTGCACGATGCCCCAAAACAATCACTGGTGGTATAGTATGTACTAGGTCGTGAGGGATAAATAGATTATCGATACATTTATAGCTAGCAAGATGAACGAAAAGAATTATGATGACAAAAGAGAAGTATACTGTATTCCTCGAACGATCTAGATTGACAGCGAAGTTGATTCGTAGGCGGGGTGTGGGTATGCCTGTGAAAGGTCGAATGCACCAGGTTCTGAGAATAGCGTCATGGAATTCGAGAAGATACCGTCGAAATTAAGGCCGCTGATGTCGAGCGCTCTATCCAAGCCTTGATTGGCACTGAAGGAAGGTGTTGAGAATGAACGCGGCTGTGACGCCCTGGAGGTCTCACGAGACATAGCGTTTAATGAAACCGCGGAATTATCAGGAGAATGAGAGAGAGCGCTTGGGCTGGAGTGACTTGAACTGGGGCACGAATGAGAGGATGATGCATAGGGGTGGTAGTGTCGGCTGGACACAGAATGCGAGCGTATGAGAGATGGAGTGGCGCTTCTGTGACGTCTGTGAGGTCCGACCTCTGAGGGTGCTACATGGAGAGCCATATTGTTCAGGGTAAAATCCTGTCTATGGGATGGAGCCGAAAAAGACGTCATAGTCGGTTCCCCGTTGCAAGTCGAACTCAACGACGGAGAGCTCGTAAAGGGACTGGCCCAGGTCATCTCCGCTGGCTCAACGTACCCGGTGTGGTCCCCGGTGCCACTTTGCAAGAAATAGCTGCTACCAAGCCCACCGTCCGAGGTAGCGTCGGTATCCATAACAGGGGAGATGCCGGACAACGCAACTAAACCCTCTTCGTCGCCTTGCACGTCTTGCACCTGGCCTTGCAGTTCCAAAACACACGTCCCCATGTCTTGTAAGCCACCCTCTGCAAAAGAGAGAGCGGCAGCAAAGGCAACGTCATCTTCATCTCCTTCCTCGTTTTCCATATCAGCATCGCACGCATTTAGATCGGTGGAAGCTGAGTCAGCCCTTTCTGTCCGTGTGTGTATGCGAAGATGCTGGTTGAGGTTGTCCGACCGAGAGAACCGCTTCTTGCAAAAGTTACAAGCAAATGGGCGTTCCATGGTGTGCGTCCGCACGTGCCTCTTTAGGTGCTCCATGCGCTTAAACAAGCGGCCACAGGAATAGAGAGGACAAACAAACACCTTCGAAGTGAGCGTCATTCCGCTGGTGGCGTGATGGCCGTCAACATCCGAAGGGAACGAAGAATCCTCCGCAAAGGGGTGAAGATGAGATTGCGATGAAGGCTGCTTGATTGATGACCGTTGTCCGAAGACTGGACCATTTGGAAGGGTGGCAGAAGTCTGCCCTGGAGCGAGTTGCGGTGTAGTTGACCAAATCGTGCTATCATGGGCTTGTAGCACAGCCTTGACTTGTCTCACGCTGGGATCCTGTTCACCTCTCGCTTGAGATGTGAACATATCGGCAGCTGTCATGCTGGAATCACTAGGTCCATAGCCAACGCCAACCTCGTATGTGTGAATGGGTGTCTCTTCCGAGTCACTGCGCGCGATCGCATCCAGCCTGCTGGCTGGCTTTTTACGACGTTGCTTATAGGTGGGAGAACCTTCGAAAATAGAAAGGGGAAGGTACGCCATATTGGGACCATGCAGTGCTGAGGGAAGATGTGGACCTCCGCCATCAATGCGACAGTTACTAAGATGCAACTCCCCCGAGTTAGAGTTGTGCATCGCCCCCGCACGTGAAACCGTCGGTGCTGATCCGCTTGTGTCACGTTTCCCATTCATTTGGGTGACGTCAAAATTGCTGATGACGTCGCCATCGGCCTCCATGCTCTTGCTAAACTGTTCATAAAGGCTGCGCTGCGGCTCGTATGTAAACGAGAGAGCAGGTTCACCGATGACGATAGTAGTTGGTTCCAAGTCCATCTTCTCGCGTTTGAGATCGCGCTCGAGGGCATCTAGGAAAAGGCGATCATGAGGGACCGAGTACCTTTCGAGGAAAGTGAGCCACAAATTTCAGGATAATGGAGAAGATACATACCAGTAGAACACCTTTTGCTTTTTCTGAGTGCGTATGCACTGATATTTGAAAAGAAGATCCAGAAATGGTGACTGTTGTACATGAGATGGAGCATCATGAGAAAACCTGGACGATACTAACTTTGGGTTCCTCCAAGCAAGCGTCGACACCAGGCTTGAGATTGCGCAGATCGCTGAAAATACCTTCCTCGAATTTTTTCATGTTTTTGACAGGTCTTCCAAATGCTTCAAAGCGGAAAACAAGCGCGCGGACAATGTCTGTGCCCGTTATGTGGTAGTGATTATTCCACGAGACACATGTGATATATTCCGAAGAAGGAAGAAGGAAGCGGTTCATGGAGGGATGTGAAGAGGCTGGGTGACCAGAGGAGTCCATGGGAAACGAATCATTTTGTGTTAAACCAGAAGCGTTCGACGACCATCGGGACGGCGCAGTAGCGAGAAAATACTTGAGATTGTCTAGATGAAAGAGATTTTCTTTCTCCTGCACGTTCAAAGGCCTTGTCAGATTTTTACATGCACTTAACCCAGTGGCCGATGGGTTAAAGCGAGGGACAAAGGCAGATTGACTGCGATCAGTTATGTGAGGCTGGTGGGATTGGAATGACGTTGGTGTTCGTTGGGGGGAGCGATGGCAATGCATTGTCGGTGATCCTCCCGATGTCCGAGCGATAAAATTGGTTACGCGACGATCAGGCGCCTGCGTTTGATGGGCATTGGGATAGTCGTTCAGTAGAGAAGGGGAAGAAGATCCGGAGTTGGATGGTGGAGTTAGCCCTGCAGCGCCTGCGTCGAGTGAAGAATCAAACGTTGGTAGATAAGGGTTCATGAGATCACTTGTTTCAGCGAAGTTGTCGTGAGCTGTAGAGAAGAGTGATACTACGCAGGGCCAACCTGGTATGATGGTGAGCTACAAAGGTTCGAATTCAAAGTGATGATAGGACGTACTTGAATCAATAGAAGGGATTTAAAGAGTCAGAGGAGGGAAGATGAATGCGATAACCAATTAGATGAAGAGTAGGATGATATATAGTTATAATGGGAGAGGGTGATCCATTTGCGTGTGCGCCGGAAGAATTATATTATATCATGGTTGATATAAAAATATGGAGATGGGATGGGCCGGGATGACCCAGAAATGATCATGGAATCATTGGATGCAATAGTTTGGGCCGCATCCACCATTGGAAAGGGTGTTGTTGACAGTGTACGGTATGCTGATGCCATCTTTACTTGGTCAAGTTACCGGGGTTCAAGCAAGGCATGGCTTACCTAATCTGCTCTTCCATTTTTAGTTATCTTTCACAGCCTCATCCGATCTTAGCATAGCCCAAGGTTCAGCACAGCACAACAAAAATTATACCTAAAGTTCAAGCTTAACACCTCCTTTGAAAAGGCGTCTACTCTCACTTGGTACAACGTTAGCATGGCTGTGCTCGAAATCTCAAGATCACGAAGTTATCCTAATTCCAATATCGCGTAACCCCCCGAACTTGTCGTGTTACTTTGATAAGCTCAGTTGATGTGGTTCATCTACTACGAGCTAAGTTGATACGGATGCGATGTCGAACCCTATCTCCTTCACTGCTATTCTCCATCCCTGCAGCCTTCGCGGGATGATGACGTTCATCATGCTGTGA